CGCTCTGCAACGGACTTATCCTCGTCCTAGCCCCGTCCGACATAGTTATCGAAGTGCCCCTGGCCCATGATGCCCCAGTGTTCCCAAGGAGGCCTCCACGGTCTCCAATGCACCCCTCACGAGGCCCAGAGGGCCCGAGGGGCACCTTGGGCCAGGGGCACCTTTAGCAACCCCCGTAAGACGAAGCCAGGACGAGGCTTACATCTGGTGAGGATAAATCGAAAATCTCTGAGATCTGGCGGCTATGGAGGATGTCTCGGGCACCGCGGCCTTCTCAGAGCGTTCGTGAACGCTTTGAGAGCGTTCCGGAACGCTCTGGATCACGACGGGAAGTACCTGCTTTCGGTCTCCTGAGGCCCTTACCGGGCCCTGGGATCGTCAAAAACGACTCAGAATGAAAAACCGGTCCCGGGGAAGGGTTCCAGACCGCTGGGGGTCGACGTTGTGAAAAAATCACGACGTCGGGGGTCTGGGACGACAGTTACGGTGCCACGCACGGTGCCCCAAAAAACGCAGACAGTCTCTTCGCGCGCACTTTTGGTGTACGTCGTGCCGAAAGGGATGATGGGACACAAAGAATTCTGGGGCACGCCCATTCGGGGTCTTGGGCCCGGCCTACAAGGAGTCACAAACAACAAATCACGACGCAAGGTTTTCTCTGTTTTCGGCCCCCAGGGGCCCTCGCCAAGCCTCGGAGCCGTCAGGAAACGACTCGGGATGTCCTGCGGAATGGGCCGACACCTCTGAGAGTCGACGTTATGAGACAGTCATAGCTTCGGGGGTCTGGGTGGGGCGGGAGCCTGCCTTCATCTCCCTCCCCCCAAGAGATCCAGCGCATTGAAAAACTCAAGACGTCGGTGCTTCGCCGTGTTCGGCCTCCGGAGGCCCTCGGCGGGCCCGGGGACATTCAAAAAACGACGCAGGATGAAGATCTGGTCCCCGGGAGTGGGCAGGCGAGCTCAGAATCGAGTCGATTAGTCAGATCGGCGATCGGCATGAATCGGATCGGCGGAAATCGGTAGCCGATTCGAGAGAAGACGAATCGGCGGAAATCGGCAGGCTGGTAGGGCTCCATTGAGAAGTCGGAATCCAAGTCGGAATCCGAAACCGAATCGAATCGGAACCAGAAGCCATCGAAACCGAATCGAACCGAATCGCAGGAATCGAAAAGAGTCCCGAGCGGGTCGAGATCTCCGGGGAGTCCGTACGGAAGCTACTGGGAATGGAGGGCAAACTGGCGCCTTCGGGTTGGGGTTGGGGTGGCTTGGTGGGTGGTGACTTTTACTTCTGCTGGCCATCCGCCGGCGGAGCCGACCTGGTGTTAATTACGTCCGTCGCCTTCCGCCGTCCTTCCGCCGAGGAAGAGATGCCGACCTCTCGGTTCCTCGAAGGCGAGGCCCTGTCCAGAGCGCCTGCACGGCCTGCAGGAGTCGATCCGAATCCGATCGACCCCAGCAACCACGTGCCCAAGAGAAGTGCCCGAAATAGTTCGAGGCTCGCGCAGAGTCCGAGAAGCACGACGTCCCATGGCTCGAGTACCTCGCTAACTCGAGCACCATCATTGCGTGCAGGAACAGTGGCTCCTGTAGTGAATCGGGGGCCAGAGATCTTCAGTCAGACTGTGACCGAGGACCCAAGAGCAATGGAGCAGCCTCCCTACTTTCCAGAGCGCCCAAGAATCAGCATCCTAAGGAGTTCAGAATTCCCGAGTAACCTGCAATACACCCATCACCCTTGCACAGCGCGTATCAACCAAGCAGCCGGCAGCCACTAGACCTCTCCTTGGGTGCATGTTTAGCAGAAGTTGGAAGGAAACCCTGCCGTGGCGACGAGATGAGTCCCAGACGTCCAGAAAGGGAGAGGAACATCCGAAAGCATCAAAACACGAAACTCGAACCTCAATGCTCTTGGGAAGAAGAAACACCAACACAACCACACACTTTCGAAGACCTGCTCGGAATTCTTGCATCAGCGATCCAAGAGATCCGCGAGGACCTCTTGGATCGGAGTAGATGGGGTCGGAGTAGATGGGGTCGGAGCAGATGGGGTCGGAGTACAGGCCCCCCTGCTGGGGTCGGAGTAGATGGGGTCGGAGGATGCCGCCGCATCGCCAATGCATCGCCTATGCATCGACGATGCATCGCCTATGCATCGGCGATGCATCGGCGATGCATAGGCGTGTCGAAAATCGGGCTCCACATCGAGCCGCATCGCTGATACATCGGCGATGCGGCGGGATCCTCCGACGCCATCTGCTCCGACCCCATCTGGGAGACCTAGAACGCCGATATGTTCTCCTTCTGACTACATACCGAAACACCCCAACCCCAACCCCACGCCACCGCCGGAATCGTCGATTTCTGGTGGGGGGGGCATTCCAGAACATGTTGAGGAACCACGATGGAACCCAGACACAGCCCCGACACCTAAACTTGGGAGGGTCTGGGACATTCGGGTTGGGTTGGGGTGGTTTGGTGAATAGTGATCTTCGACCCTCACCCCTCGACTCCACGCAAGAGTGACCCCTCGGCAAGAGTGACATTTGGTGCGCGGCCCATTGAAGGCCGCGGGGGGACTAAGCACGAGCGCGTAAGACGCTAACACCGCGTCGCGTTCAGCGATCTGGGGAACCCCATGGGCCCGCACCAAAGGTCACTCCGGCGAAAGGTCACTCTGTCGGGTAGTCGAACCCCCCCCCCCCCCCTGGCCCCAGGACGCGCGGTCCTTGTCCCACACCTGCGCGATCGCCTCGGAGGCAAGGGCCCCCCACCCGGCTCGGGCCGATCGGGCGGCCCCCGCTGAGGCCCTGGCCTGTCAGGAAGCCAAGTGGGAGGAGGGGAAGGAATTAGGGACGATGGAGGATCCAAGACCGCGTGTACATATAAATTTTGACAGACAGAGTGCCAGCGCACAAGGCGCGCTTGCTTGTTCTGCCCGCTTGTTCTGTGCCTCCGTGCTCCCCTGCACAAGCGCGCGGATGCAATCCCAAGGGTATCCACAAGAGGCCCGCACAGAGCGCACAACGTCCCCCGCACAAGGCCTCCGTACAAGACCCGCTTTCCGTACAGAATGATGAAATGTGGCCGCGTCCAGCCTGTAGCTTTGACAACTTGCGGCAGTCACACCCGTGATGGCGGGCATGTTGTGTGACCCCTCTCGGGAGCCCTCCAGAGCCCTCGGGAGCACAACGGGGCTGTCACACCGTGTTGGTCATGACCGCCGCTCCAGTACAGAGCCTTTGCGACGCGAACAAGATTCACGGCGGCATGTATGTCCGCCGGCCCCCTTGCAGGGCCATCAGGCTGCGGGGGTGAGGTTTCCTACAACCTCCGCCAGTACCAGTTTCCAGTTTCCAATGTTCTTCCCCGCAAAAACAACACTCGCAACCACATCGCGACAAGGTCACCAGGCAAACTGGGAACAGTGCATAAGCCGACCTGCAGTAGCCAAACTCATGATGTGAGCTGTGGCCAATGTAACACTTCAACATTATACCTCCTTCTGGAAATTGTTGCTGCCCGCGCGAGGAGGCCGGAGCCGAAGACCGCCCCCCTCGGCGAACTGCGAACTGCGGACTGCGACCTGCTTGGCACGCCGCGAGAGCGCCGCAGGGCGGGGCCGAAGCATCCAGAAAGCGATTATACCGCACTACCGGAACTCGTCTGGACCACGGCCCCCCCCCCCGGGGGTTCTCAGAATTCCCCAGGGGGCCCCTGGGCACAGAAAAGTGCACCAGAGTCGCGCTCCCGAGGCTGTACCCCCTCCACGACTACGCCACATCCGCGCCCTCGAGGCCGCGACCGCCCCCCTGATTTACACCACGTCCGCACCCCCGAGGCCACGATCACTCGTACATTACGCCAAGTTCGTGCCCCCGAGGCCACGATCCCATGCAAAGTACACCACGCTCGCGGCCCCAGGGGCACGATCCTGGTTGAATTACGCCACCGCCGCGCTCCCTGGGCCACGACCCCTAGCAAACTACGCCACGTTCGCGCCAGCGGGGCCACGATCCCTCGCAAACTACTCCACCCTCATGCCCCCGAGGCCACGACTCCTGATAAACTACAACAGAGTCGCGCCCCCGAGGCCACAATCCATCGTAAATTACGTCGCGCCCCCGAGGACACGATCCCTCGTAAGTTTCGCCACTCTCGCGCCCCCGAGGCTAGGATCCTTCGCAAATTACGCCGCGCTCGCGCCTGAGGCCACGATCCCCTGCAAAGTACGCAACATTCGCCCCCAGAAGGAACGATCCTTAGCAATTTGCACAGCTTCGCGCCCCGGAGGCCACTGCCCCTACTAAATTGCACAGCATTCGCGCCAAAGAGGCCACGACCCCTAGGAAATTACACCGCGCTCGCGGCCCCGAGGCCACGAGCCTTCGTAGGTTACCATGCGCGCGCGCGCGCCCCCGAGGCCAGGATCCTTCGTAAAATGAGGCCAGGCTCGCGCCCCCGAAGCCACACTCTTTAGGAAGCATACCAGCTTCGGGCCCCTGACACTGCAATCCTCTGTGCAAGCTGAAGCACGTCCGCGCTCCCGAGGCCACAAACACCCGTCAATGACGGCAGAGCCGCGTCCCCGAGGCCACAACCCTCCGTAGATCACCACAGGTTCCCGCTCCCGAGGCGACAGGCCTATTTGAAACCATCTCGGGCCGTCCTGGCGTCATTGAGGACCCCCTGGGGCCAACACTCAAACTGCTGGAACTTCAGACTTCCGCCACGGGGATCAGGATCTGGGACCGCGTCGGAGATCGACGGCGAGGTCGTTATGGAGGCGAGGTCGGCTAATACTATCGTGGATCCTCTCCAGCGAGGGCTCCGAGGCCCGTGCGGAGTTCTCAAATCCCCCTCGGCAGCCTCCGAAGGGGAGGGGGGCCCCGAGGACAGGGACTCTCTTGGGCTGTCTTGGAGCTCTCTTGTGTTGCTTGACTCTCTCTTCAGGCCGTATTTTTGTTGCCCTTGGCGCACGGCTTTCGGGGGTGGCGGGGGGGGTCAGGTCCAAGCAGGCCGGCGACGCCGGACACAGGGGCGCGTCTGCGCCTCACAGGCTCCGCAGCTGCCCTGTCCTCTGCGGCGACGCCGCCCTGCTGGCGGCGGCTCCGGCCGCCGCCGCCTCGGCCGCTGCCGCCGCCGACTGCGAGGCCGCACACCTCGGCTGTGCCGCTGGCAAGGCGGCGTCGCCGCACCGCACCTCGGCGGCGGCCGTCGCGGCCTCGGCACGGCCCTGCGGCTGCGAGGCCGCGCCAGCAGCGCCGCCGCACCGCCCCTCGGCCGCGCCCGCTGTGGCCCCTGCGGGCCTCTGCCCCTCGGCCGCGGCCTCTTCGGCCTCAAGTCGGCTGCACGCGACCGGGGTGGCGCGCTCCAGGCTGGCTCTTGACGCGGCCGGCGGGGTCCCCTTCGACAGGGTGCCGGGCGCTCTCGTGTCGATCTGCAAGTCCTGGAGCACGATGCGCACGACACCCTCGCCGTGGGGCTGCCCGTCAGGGGGTGGTGTCAGGTCGAGCCTCAAATTAGCCGAGACCGATCGCCACGTCCGTCGCGTCCCGCTTGTGGCCGCGCGGGCGGAGCACTTCATGTGGAGCCGCTCGCTGTATTGCTTAGGACCGGAATCGGATCCCTCCTCCACCAGATCGAACCACGCCTGCTGGATCCAGCATATAAAATCTGCTCGTGAACGTGGTTTCAGCGCGGCCAAGAACTCGCTGTTGGCCTCCAGATGCTTAGCGAATGCGGGGCTGGCGTACCTCACGGTGTAGCCCTCCGTTAGGATGTCGATCCAGCCGATGGCCTCAGCCTCGATCAGCAACTCCATGCCCCACGCGAGAGCGTTTGAGTTCACATCCGACGAATCGTGGGTGGAGTCCACTGCAGGCACGCGTGGGGCCCAGGAAACTGCCTCTGGGGCAGCAACTCTGTGAAAGTTGCCCTGGCGCACCTCCGCCGCACTGTCCACGGTGAGTATCGGGCTGATGTCCGTAAATTCTCGGATCCCGACAGAATACGCCGCTTGCGCATCCCGGTTCACGAAGGGCACGGAGAACACCTCGACGACGAGGGGTACGCTGGAGCTGTCTTTCATGGAAACGTGGAAGGCCGCGCTGAGCCCCACCACGTCGTCGCTCTGATCCCAGGACTGGCCCATCTGCTCGGTGAACTTCTGGCGGTCCTGCTCGGACGCCAGGAACGACCTCACGTCCTCGCCCAAGAGGGATCGCTGCGAGTTCAGCAAGAGCATGTTGACGAGCTGGGGGGACTCGTCCTGCAGACGGAAGTCGCTATCGAGCTCCACCACCGCGTCGCAGACACCTCGCAGCACCGAGCGCGCAGCCTGCAGCTCATTCCTCGATATGCGGGCCTCGATCTCGTACTGCGCGGCAAGGCAGATGTACCTGTGTAGACAGATGACACAGGCAGTCAGCATCAGGCCCGCCTGACAAACGTGCGACGAGTAGCGCGCGCGGTGAGCTTCAAAGTCGCAGGCCCTGAGTGGGTCAACAGTGCCGCACAGGATCGAGCTGCAGAGCGTCGCGGTCAAGACCAACAACCAAAATGCATTCAGTCGCACGTTCAGATTAAACAAGCACAGCACCATCATAGCTGCAAAACACATCGGGGCAGACGAGGCCGCATAGTTTGCTTCTATGGCGAATGGCGATCCATACATCGTGATGCAAACTGCCACGGTGGAGGACCAGACGTTCAGGGTGCTCAGCGTCACCACGCTAGGGCATGCCACAAGAAAGAGAACAATGAAGCAGCCCGCCAACGTGGAGACGTCCTGCACCGACGAATGGAAGCGAGGGAATGGGTTGATGGCCCGTACGAAGAGGGGCTACGACAGTCATCGAGGCGACTAAGAAGCCATGCATGAGCCAGCTGTGGGCGCGGACCAGGCGCCTCTTCTGCAGCTCCTTTGCGGCGGGGCCGCTCTCCGTGCTGAAGAGCATGGAGACGGAGCGTCTGCAGAATCTGACCAAATGGACCAGGCAGTGGCCCACCGAACATGAAGCTGACTTGCGCCTCACCAGGCTCACCACGCGGACCACGAGCACAAAGCCGCCGAGCACGAGCCAGACGGCACACGACATGGCAACCGCTGTGCGACGGGGGCCCTCCTCCAGGAAGTTCTTGGAAGTGGGCTCCATGGCTGCTGGGCGACGTCAGGCCCTCCGGCTATATTTCGCGCGTGCCGCCAAATCCAGATCTCGCAAACCCAGCAAGAGGAGTGGTCAGATAGTCGGGAGGATCGCGCACGCGGCGATCTTGAGCCAAAAGGGCTTGAGCCAAATGGCTACTGAAGCTCTCTTCAAACCGTCTTGGGGCCGATTTGGGGGCCTCGTGGGCAATCTGGGGCAAAATTGGGGGGCCTTTGGGGCCGTCGTGGCCGCTGTCAGGACTGAAAAAGCGAGTATCCCGAACATATATGGTTTTCCAACGTGAATATTTGATGTTTGCCCTTGGGGTGCCCTCTCGGCGGCCTCCTAGACCGTCTGAAGGGCCTGCGTGGCCGTCTAGGAGCAGTCTTGGGCTGTCTTGGAGCGCTCGTGGGCCGTCGTGAAGCCATCGCAGTGCGCTCTTCGTCGCGTGCTTCGCGCGCGCTCTCAAGTTCTATCTAGACTGCATGGGCTAACTCTAGGATGCCCCGACTTGTTGATACTCCCTCCCCAGGGCGTCCAAGAGGCATCAGGACAGCCCAAGAGGCCTCCATGACAGTCTAGGATACACCCGAGACGGTGTCAGAGAGGTCCACGAAGGCCCGAAGACGATCCGCTCAAAATGGCCTCGACAAAGACCAAGAGGCTCCCAAAGCTGCCGATGTTAAATGAATTTCGAATAGATGTTTTGTTCTCGCCTTCGATAACTTCCGACGGCCCGAAACGGCCCAAGACGCCTCGGCGAGACCCCCAAGAGAGCGTCAGGACGGCCCCAGAAAGCTCCCAGGCGGCTCGGGAGGACACCAAGAAGCCCCAAGAAGTCCCGATGATGGCCCAAGAGGTCCCGAAGAGGACCTAAAAGAAGGCTCCCGAGCTGACATTTCGAGTCCCCTGGCCAAACATGACCCCCGAGGCCGCCAGCAGGCATTCACGAGGTCCCGAAGAGGCCCCCAAGAGACGCTAAGAGACTCCCAGGAGGCGTAAAGGATTGCCGAAAGAGGCCCGCAAGAGCCACAAGAGGGCTCAGAACTGCTTCCAAAAAGTCTTCAAGAGGAATCACAAGAGAACCATACAGGCATCCAAGAAACCTCTGACCCGCAACTCATGCGCGGTGGCGGGATGGGCCTGGCGACAACTTGAAAAAGATAGGGAAAGTGATGTGTTCCTTTTTCAAGTTGCCCCAAGCCTGGTGCACAAAGGCTGCCAGATCGCCCAGGATGCTCCTAGTTTGGCCCAAGATGGCCCAAGAGGGCCTCCAAGATGGCGTCAGAGAGCCTGGCATGTTAGCTGGAGCCTCGCTGGAGGGCCGAGGTCACTGAGGCTTCTAGATTTTCAGAAGAGGCCAAGAGCGCCAACAAAAATCGTCACTCGATTATCCTGTTCCGGCCTCCGTCTGACCTCGTTCCTCCGACCCCACGTCCGCTCCAGAGGGGAGGAGAATGAGAAGGACGTGGAACGGAAGACGGAGGCAGACGAAGAGCAGAAGAGAGATCGGGGGAACGGACAGCGAGGGATGGGAGAGACGGAAACGCATCCTGGGCCAAGCGATCGCCAGGCACAAGAGTGAAGGGAGACCAGGGTCGAAACTGAAAAAAACATAGTTCTGGGAATTCTATGTTTTTTCAAGTTCGGCCTCCAAACACTTAGTGAGAAGGAGGAGGAGGAGGAGGAGGAGGAAGAGGAGGAGGAGGAGAGAACGGGCTCGGGTTTGGAAGCGTGGGCGACCCCGGCCGGAAAACAGTGCGAAGTTGGATCTGGCTATTCCTTTTTGGGTGGACAACACTCCGAAATGAACGCCCCACGGCTGGGCGCCAGCAACTGGCGGCGGCTCTCGTGGACCGCACCATACTCGCTGGAGGATAGGACCCACACAACAACCTCAAAACGGTAGTTTGAGTGGCAAACAGATCCTGCCAGACAGTCACTGAGAGTGGTACAAATTTGCACAAGCCATGCACAGAAGTCTCAGAAGCCCTGGACACCGGACACCCACTGAAAATTGTGCAATTTGACGCGCGCTCCGCACAGAAGTATCAGAACCCCCTGTCACAGCCACTGACAGTGCGAACTGGCGCGAGCCCAGCACAGAAGTGCGGACTGACACTAGTGCGAACTGACGATGGTCATGATAACGACCGTGAAAAATAACGATAGTAATGATGACGACGACGATGATAAGAATGACAATGCTGGCGATGATAATGATGGTGACGATAATGAGGAAGATGATGACAGTGTTTATGGCGGTGACGAAAATGATACTCGACAAAACCTTAAGAAACTTCGAGCATGCTCCAGGAACTTCATATAACTCACGCTATCTCAGCCAAGCCCAAAAGAAATTGTCGTGAACATCTTGACTCTCCTCACTTTCGAAACGGACCGCGCGGCAAGTGGAGGGTCGGGGTGACGGGGGCCCTAAGGGGACTCCTACATGGGCCCCCTTTTTCCGCCTCTTGAGGAGCCTCTGAGGACACTGGAAATCCTGATTTTCAGGGTTTTCTCAAAGGGAACCCTTGGAGGACTCTTCAGAAACCCAGGAATCTGGATTTCCAGGTTTTTCTATCGTGATTCCCGGGTGTTCCCCCCCTCCTCCTCATCCTCCTCTTTTTTTTCTCTTTCTGCTTCTTCTTATTCTTCTTACTAACACTCTTCTTCTAGGTATTACTACTTTTTGTTTTACTCGCATTGTTGCTAGTAATCGTCTTCTTATTCGTCTTCTTCTTCTCCTTCCTCCTCCTCTTCCTCTTCTTCCTTATCCTCCTCCCTCCTCCTCCTCCTCCTCCTCGTCTGATTCGTCTTACGTTTCTGATTATTAGTAGTATTCCTACTATCTTATTTTTACTAGGTTCATTATTGCTTGTCTTACTATTATTATTGTTCGCCATCTTGTTATTATATACGATTGTTCTCTTTAGTAGTATGTGTCTTCCTCTTCCTCCTCCTCCTCCTCCTCCTCCTCTTCCTCCTCCTCCTCTCTCATCCTCCTCCCCCTCCTCCTCCCCCTCCTCCTCCTCCTCATCCTCCTCCTCCTCCTCCTCCTCCTCCTCCTCCTCCTCTCGTCTTGTTATGGTTTCACATGGAGCGTAGCCCTCCTCCACCTGCAGGTCCGTGGCGGTCTCTGGACGTCCCCAGAAGCCGCTTGAGGCCTCCAGGGGCGCACAAGGGCCAGGCACGTCCAACACGTCACCCATTGACGCTGGATCGACGACGACAGCGAGGACGCGGAAGAGGACGAGAGGACGAGCGACGACGACGACCAGGGGCCCCCTGGGGCCGTGGCCGACCCTGCGGGCTGCGAGGCAAAGGCGCGCTCCAGCGCGCTGTGGTAGAAGTAGTTCGCCAGCATAAAGTGCGCGTACTCCTCTGGGAGGCCGTCGTCGTCGTCGTCGCCGTCGCTGTCGTCGTCGTCGTCGCCATCGCCGTCGGCGGTCATCGGCGGCGTCGTCTGTCCTTGCTGTCGCCTTCGCCGCCGTCGTCATCGGGGGCGTCGTCGAGGGCACCAGCGTCATCGCCGTGATCGGTCGGCATCGGCATCGTCGGTGACGTCGGTCGTCGTCGGCATCGTCGGTCTTCGTTGTCGACGTCGTCGTCGTCACCGCCGCCGCCGTCGTCGTCGTCGTGGTTGTCGTCGTTGTCATTGTCGTCGTCGCCGCCGTCGTCGTCGTCGTCTTCATGATCGCCGCCGCCAACGCCGCCACCGTCGTCGTCGATACCACCGCCGTCGTCGTCGTCGTTGCCGTCGCCGTCGTCGAAGTCGTCGTCGAAAACGTCGTCGTCGTCGTCGTTGTCGGTCGGTCGGTCGGTCGATTTCGGGTCCAGGTGTTTGGTGTTCGTGCATGTTCGGCATCTTCTTTCGGGCCCCTGAGGGCCCAATATGCTCAGAAGAGGGCCCTGGACCGGTCCGTGCACAAGCACAAGCCAGACTTGCTTCCACGGCTTCGGTGCCGATCCACCCCATGGTGGTGGCTGGCGGCTTGGTCCTGACTCGCACCCTGATGGGGGTTTCGGGTGGGGCCACAGGGGCTCCGTCGTACCAGGGCGTGCCTGCTGCCCGCAGGACGGCACGCCAGGTCTCTGCAACGAACACCGCTACGGCAGGTTCGTGTCGTGCCTGCTTCGACTTTGGCTCCTGACACCGCGGGGATCGCTCCACCTTGAAGAGACCGGCCGTTTCCGAAACGGCACATCGCTCAACATCGACCAGGTCCGGGTCGCCGGCGGCGGCGGTCGACACGACGCGAAACTACAGTACAAGTCCAAAGAGGGCTGTCCAGCGAGGCGGCAGCGCCGTGGGAGCTCGTGGGATACGGTGCCCGCACTGTTGCTGCCTGCTGAGCGCTCGAAGGCGGCACGGCCGCCGCCTCTTAGACGCAGGGAATCAAGGACTCGATGTCCCTCGCCTGTAGATCAACCATGAGTTCTTCCAAGCTTTACGACGAGGCTAGCACGGGCGCAGCCTCAAATGTACACCGTTGTGTCGCCGCAGCCAACGCTACATGTCCGTCGTCCCTGGCCCCGCTGCCCAGAACCATCCCCGACCTCATCCCCCCGTTCCCTCCACTGCCGCCCGTGCCCCCTCCCGAACTCCCCAGGAGATCTTGCCTCTCCTAGTTTCCTCCTGCCTCCCCATCAACCCTGATGCCTCCTCCTGCCTCCCCAGCCCCACTCCTGTCTCCCCGTCCCCCTCCCAGAACAGCTCAGAACCACACCGCAGCACCTCTCCTGATACTTCCTGATCAAAACCCTCATGGGGGCTGATGAAAGGATGGGGATGGGGCTGAGCATGATGAGGGGGACCGTAAGGGGGTACTGGCTCAGGGGAGAAACGTCGACCTGGAATCGGCAATACATTGTCGACGGATCGGCTACATGTCCCTGATAGCAAAGCCGCGGGATCTTTGGCGGGTTGGGCCATCGGGCCCACATCAGCGAGGAATGGGCGGCTGGGGGGCATCCCACCCTGAGCCTATCCCCCCACCTCATGTTGC